TTTGCAGCAGTATAAAAGGAGAAGTAATTCCTTTAAAATATGGAATGGAAACAGTTCTGTTTCTTGATATTTTGGGTTTCAACCATAAAATAACAAAGCACAGTTTAACTGGAACTTACAGCCCCACAGGTTTTATTTCCAATATAACTTTTAAGATTCAACTAACATTTACTTCACAAGGAATCCTTTTATTTTAAACTTTTATATACAATTTTTAATACCTTTCAGCAAGGAAACGTAGGTGTACCAATTGTAGCACCTCTGCTTGCATGAAAACTGTTAAATAAACTGTTAAATTTCAAAGTGCTTGAAATTCTGGCATCCATGTAAAGAACAGGTATACCTATGGGTTATTATTTCTTTGGCAATATTGGCTCTCCACTCAATTAAAGATGCATATAAGCAGATTAGAGGAAAGAAGAAAATATTCGGCTCAGCATTTACCCATAATGCAAGATGATTTTAGGCACTCAGTCTATTCAGGTCAAGTTGTAAAACTAAATAATTAAGATGTGGGGCTTACTGAAGTTCAATAAAATGAGTATGAACATTATTTTGCCAGTTATTAAACACATATAGTTGCATTCTGTAATAATTAGCTTAATTTTTTATCTGAATGGTTTACCAACAGAACTCCTAGCAACTCCAAGGCTCCACAGGGGTTCTGGTACAAGAAGGCTGGAACTTAGCTTGTCCACTGACAGTGACCATTCCTTTTACAAATGGCAGAGTTGTTTAGGATTGTTCTAGATTTGGGTCATCAACAGCTCAATGAAAGGCAATATACCTGCAGTCATTTTGCTTGATGCCCACCAGGCTCCAACCTCAATTAATTCTTAGTTTTATATAATGGGCAACAGAAAGCAAAGTACCAAGCTCTACTATCATTTTTTATTATTATTTCCAAGGACAACTCCATAGGCATGTTTTGCAAGTGTGTCAATCTTTCCGGAAGTAAAACAAAGGTGAACTAGAGCTGATAGTTTGGAAGGGATATTGACATTACCTTCACCACTTTCTGGTAAATGAGGTTTGCAGTTGGCACATTTATTATGGCAGCTTCTCTGTGGCACTATCCTTGCTATGTTAAGGCATTGGTTAGGACTAACTACTGTAGCCTTCCCCAATTTAATTTCATCAAAGTGTGATGAGACTATAGCTCCCAGAATTTCTGAAAAAACTGCCCACATGGACTGAAAATTCTTTAAATTGTAGATTATCTGAAGTATATTTGGCTGAAGACAATAGTTTTGACTCACAGCTTCAAATATGTATGGTAGCAATGACAGTACTATAAATACGTGATCAAAAAGGTAAGTATCTGATCCAAGGACATATTTAGCCTCAGGTATAAAAAGCATGAAAACTAGGGTTCAAGGTAGTACTGCTAGATCTAAATAAAGATGCAAAATTTCCAGAAATTTTTTTAAAACCCCCTGGGAACTTTTGTTTTTAGTATAATTTGGGAAAATATTGAAATATAAAATCTTTATTTGAAATATTTTTAAGCATCCTTCACATAGCTTAAGTCACTCTGTCACTTCAAGAACATAAAATGTATTATGTACAATTACATTAATTGTAAAAGTATTTTTACCATGGTTCCCCACTTACTATCAGACAATAGTCTCTTTTTATAACTACGCAACTTAGCAAATAGCTAAGGTAGGTAAAATAAAACTGAGTATAATTATTTCAGAACTCTTGCTTGTAACAATGCTGTCTTTCAGCTCCTTTCTGATTCAGCTCTTTTTGTGGCTCTCAAAATAGACTTTCAGAGTCAGGAGAAGTTCCTTTCAACCCCCAAACCTTTAGACTTGTTCTGTCTAAGCAATCAAGGCCATGAGTTCCTTGTTTCTATCTAATCTCCACCGGAATAAATGCATTGCTGCTACTCCAGAGCACTTCCAGTAATCTGAGGCTGAAGACAAGAACAGAACCACCAGCTTGTACAAAAGTGAACAAGATCGCTCACAGAGAAGACTCTGAATCCTTCTTTATTCACTCATGAAAATGTCAGAGCAGCCTGGAGACAGAAATTTTACTCCTGTAAGCATTGCTTGTCCTAGTATAGGAATTATAATGATCTTGGTAGAAATTTACAGAAAGTAAAGGTTCTTCATGAAACACTCCCAATCTAGAATAAAATTATTTATAATCTATTTTTCCCAATTCTCCAACAAAAAATAAAAGAAAAAAGGGTTCAGATACCCTCCCCAATCTTTCTGGCCATTCTTAAAATAATTATCATCTAGTTCTCTCAATTTTTATGTATGAGAATCTTCACATAACACATTTTGAAGGAATAAAAATGTGCCTTAAAAGTATTTCAGCTATTCTAAAAGGGAAAGAACTTGATAAGGTTTTTTTCAGATTTCCCCCAGAGCTTCTAATTTTGTCACTGGAAAAAAAATCTTCCTGCCCCCCCAAAATATTTATATACTTATAATAGACTTCTCCTGTTGCCCACATAAATATACAATGCACCTTAGGATATGCTCAAATTATTTGCAAGATACAAGTATTTCAAAACAAATAGATAAATATGGATAGTTTTTCAAGCAATAGATGCCAAACAGTAACATTGCTTTTTGAAATTTATGTTGATGGAAGTAACAATGTTCTACATTTTCAACAGAAAGGATTAGAGAACGCAAGACTGAAAGAGCTCAATAAGCTCTGTTTAACTCTTATTCAAGGAACTGGAGGTGGGAAGCTATTAGCTGAGTGAAAATTCTGACATTCAGTAGCTCTATACACTCCATGGTAGAACCTTCTGATATTTTGATTTTAAAAAGCAGAGTACAGGTAGTTCCCAGTTTAAAAACAAGTTCCATTCCCAAAGTCTGTCCTTAAGTTGAATTTGTATGTAAGCCGGAACAGTATTATTGTATAATACTGTATAAGTAGTATTGTGTAATGAACTCGAACCACTGTGTATTTAACTCAAAATTTTCTATAATAGGCTCCGTTCTTAACTATGGGTCATCCTTAAACCGGTCATTCTTAACCCGGGGACTACCTGTAAATAAGGAAAGTGATCCTTACTTTAACATAAATCTTCTCTCTTCCCTAGATGTCAGCTAGAAATTTTTAGAAAAGGTCCCCAGTAGGACTTTCCAAACAGTAGTTTTAAGGAGATACTTAAATAATCTAACGCTACTCACATTCTTGAAAGATATGTTAGCAGCTGCCATTGTATAAGTAACAAAACTATCAGTAATAATTTTAGTAAAGTACAGGTTCTCATTCCATTACAATAATTCACAAAACAACCAAGGCCCTTGCATAAGGGTCCCATCAGCCAAAGGATAGGGATTCCTGAAAATGTAACAGAAATTATAGCCCCTATTATTAGGCCTAAAAATAAAATTCTGCAACATAACAGGCATTGTGCAAAAAAACTCGTCCCTCATTCCTGATTATAATTGCATAAATTTGTGCAAGAATCATATACATACATCTAGAAAGCCCACTATGCAACATGCCTAGATTTGGACAATAATACAACTGTGCAGCCCAAACCCCTTTAAGTAGTCAATAGAAGAGAATATATGTAGCTCAAGGTTGAACTGTGGAGTCCTTAGTGCACTGATGACGTTACCTAGTTGGGTAATGAAACGTCTGCAAGCAAACAACCAAGCTCAGAGAGCACTGAGGCCTCCACAAAAATTAATTTGTTAAGAACTCCTACATAGCACATTCATATGAAATCAGCTTTCTCAAACTGCCCCCCCCCCATATATTGGATTTCAAATCCAAGAATTCCCAGTCAGCGTGGCATTGTCAATTATAGGAGCTGAGGGCATCACCAGCCTGAAGAAGGTTGCTATGAATGATCCCCTGAGTACTGGCAAACCCTTTTACTATCCTCCAACATAAGCATTTAAATGCACACCCTGAACAGATGTTTGAAAATGGAGTACGTATTTCCCCTCTCCCACCGACAGCCTTAAAAGGCGTACTATCGGACTACAAGCACCGCCCGCGCTTTACTAACACTCATTGGCCTACCAGATAGGATCACAGTATAGAGAAAAGAGAGGGGGAGGGTTCATCAAAAAGCGAACCAGAGGGATTCGGAATTTCGCGGGACTGCCCCGGCAATGCCTCGCCTCCCCAAATTACGTGGAAGACGCGTTACCTTTCATTCAAGCAGAAAGATGCACCGTAACCGGAGACGTGCCCCGCCGCTCCTGCTCCTAGAGAGCCGATTTAATTCATTCTCCGCAGCTGAGGCCGACGCGAAAGAGCTCCCCGGCGCGCGCCGCGTCCTACCACTGCCCTGAGCCCCCGTTGACTGGAGAGGTGGGCGTGCAAGAAAAACAACGCAGGAAGAGGGATTGGAAGGGGGCGTGAAAGACCCAAGCACGCACTTTGGCCCTTTCCTGGAGAGGTCGGAAGCGCACCGTGTGGAGCCCGATTAGAAGAGGACGATACGGAAGACCAGCACGCCAGTGCGCGCGTGTACCTCCAACGCTCGCAGCCTACCTGCCTGAAGCCCAGTGGCCTACAGAATACGGAGAGGCGGGCGTACGCGCGCGTAAAAAGGAGGGAGAAGCACAAGCAAACGAGCGGTCGTCTCTGCGCCTGGTCCCCCGCCCACCTGGCTTGTATGACGACTGGCGCCGCCGCTTCCCTGCAAGGAAGAGGACCAAAACTCTTTCATACTCCACGGTCCCAAGTCCGGGATTTCTACCACAGGCTGTTTCGCCTCCCCGCGCGCCTGGGACAGCCGATGCTTGCCAGCCGCGGAGTCGGGCCTGGCTTACCAGAAGAGGAGGGGAGAGAGGAGGAGGAGACTGGTACGCATCAGCTACCACACCAGCAGGTTATCATCAGCCCAAAGCGAGCTGGCCTTCTCCAACGCCCCTATTTACACTAATCACTCACTTTGGCCAAACCGCTTTCCTCTCGGTCTGCAAAGAAAAGCGGAGCGGGCGGGGCGAAGCTGCTGGCTGGAGAGGGGCTGCGCCGGTTTAAAGTCCACCTAGGCTCACCTCCTCCTGCCACTGTCGAGGCTGCTGCCAGGCGCCTGATCTGATCATCGTCGTCCCTCCCCTTCTCTTCTCCCTCTCCGTTCTCCGTGTCTGACGCATTCATTCTGCAACGTCTGGAGCCTTCCGAGGCGCCCGCTCTGGGCTGGCCTGCTGCTTCTCTCTTCGCCGCATCTCTCAGCCGGTCAGGAGCCGCCGCTACAACAAAAGAAAATCGGGACAGATCACCAGACCTGATGTCCCCAAACAGTCAAGACAGCCTTTTCTGGGGCTCCAGAGACGACACGGCCAGGCGATTGATTATTAATGCAAATATAAAGGAAAAGATGACACGATCAGCCTGCCAGTGTAAAATATATATATTTGTATGTTAAATCGGGAAGCGTTTCTCCATCCTGATGTACTGCTGCAGTGTTCTTCAGCAATGGCTGCAGCCGTTCCAGAGAACAATGTGACTGACTGGTGCCAGGATAGTGCAGGCACCAACGAAAGCGAGGTGGTGGAGGTAGAAAAGGTCACGGACATTTTGAAAGGGTAGCATTGCATTGATTTCTTTCTGGCAGAGGAAACAGTAATATGATAAACAAAGCAGCCTAATAAAAATGTGCCAATTATGATTAGAATGAAGATAAAGGATGTGACCAAAAAAGCAAAAGCAGATTTGGCCCACAGAGAGAGGAGGGTTTTTTGCTCTCAATCACTTGAAAAGCATCCCATGTAGCTTCTGAAGATGTCCATATACTCTTGCAATGAAAAACAAACATCAGGTGCTGGGGTTAATAGTTAATTATGCATAGGTATTTAACCATCCTTAAAACTCATATACATAGAATTATTCAGATGTGTTAATCATCTTTTTTCTTTAGAAAAAACAATTTAACTATCAAGGAATGCAGGTTTTATCCTTTTTTTTTTTTTGGTGAAACATAGAATATGATAAAGAAAAAGAGCAAAAAAAAGTCAAGAAAAAATTGGGAATATGGATATTGTTTATGCTTGTATTTATACAAGTGTGCTTTTAAGAAGGAGCATTTTACATATTCCATGTTTATACCCAGAACATTTGTATACGTAATGATTTATTAATGACCTTTTCTTTTAATTCTTAAATGTAGGTCTTTTGCTGTTACATTAGTTTTTTGCCAAAACATTTTGGGCAGAAAAAAAAATTCCATTCTGATCCAAAGAAAGAGGTACTTGCATTTTCTAATATTTTTCAGTTACAGATCTAGCAACCAGCAATAGGAATTTCTTACATTGCAAAGTGTAAGTCTTATATTTAAGGTTAGGGTTTTTTAAGGTTAAGCTTATTTGAATGCAGGTTTTTAATTAAATATTTGTATTTACATTAATTAAAATACAAATTCTAGTAAAGAGGTACAGACCTTATTTTTATGTAATAATTCAGTTGCACAGTGCTAAAATAATGTTACTGGTATGAAACAATATCAGTCTATTCAATAGTATTTATACCCACTAACTCTCTATACTGTGCCTGTTTACTATGGCATAAGTTTAATAGAAACAGTGGGGCTAGCCTTCTGGTTCTCCACACATTTTCTCCCTTTTCTCTATACCTATACAGTATAATAGTACTACTACGATCAGTGGCCATACACTGTAGAAAGCAAACAGAGGATCTCAGCCTCAGTTATAATCAATAAGGTTGTTTACAGTGTGTGTCCATGCCTATTGTCTATTTTATGGGTATGTATACTCTATTTTCATATATAAAAATTCATTATAAATTAAAAAAACAGTTACTTTAACAAAACTGAGCTTTATTTGCATGCTTGTAGATTTACCTGCTTCAAAGAAAAGCATCAATCTCTATCATAATATTATTGTATTCCAAACAATGTGCATAGGCCTCATACAGACTCCAGAACTATTCTTAGAAAATAAAATTGTGGGTAATTGCAACTCATATCTTGTTTGGAAGTATGCCCATGTACCTTAAAAACAAGATGAGATAATAATAGTAGTGATTTAATTTATGTGCCTGTAACTAGGCACAGTACAGAAGAGAAGAGAATATATGTAGCTTAGGGTTGAACTGTGGAGTCCTTGGTGTTCTCTGAACTTGGTTGTTTTCTTGCAAATGTTTTGTTACCTGGCTAGGTAACATCTTCAGTGCTAGAATGGAGTGGGGTTTGCTCCCTGTTTATATGCAGTAGCTTGCCCTGCCGGTGTTGATGGGGGTGGTTTTTTTTCCTGGTAGTTCCTTGATTAGGGTATTGTTTACTGCTTGATTGCACGTCTGGTGATAATTGTTTTTACTGTCTCTTTTGAATAGTGTGTAGATGTTTATCTCTATGTGTCTGTTGATGGCTGTCTTGTCTGAATACCAAGCTTCTAGGAATTCCCTCGCATTTTTGGATTTAGCTTGGTCTAAGATACTGACAGTTTCCAGAGAGCAAACCCCACTCCATTCTAGCACTGAAGATGTTACCTAGCCAGGTAACGAAACATTTGCAAGAAAACAACCAAGCTCAGAGAACCCAAGGATTCCACAATACAGAATACATCAAAAAATTAATACAGTAGCTCACTATAATCTAATTTGAGATCACAA